CGCTCTTTCTAATGGTGGTAAGAAATCCATCCCTCTGATTACTGTCTTTGACAGCAAGCACAAACATCTTTCTTCTCTGTGCCCTTTAGCTGAAGAAAGCTCTTGTTGAAGCTTCCTCCAAATCTGCTGAAGTGTCTCGGATGAACAAGGAGCTGCGGCAGAAGGTAACGGAGTTGGAAAAATCCCTGGACAATTACAGGGAGAAGCTGAAGAGCCAGAAAGCTCAAATCAGACACCTTTTGGCCTCCAAGGCCAACAACGCCCAGAACACAGAAAGGATAAAGGTTTGTGTGGGTGCTTTGTCCCACTGAAATAGTCTTTTTATGTTTTCTTACTCTACCAAGTAGGTCTCAGTCTGACCCCATTGATTAAAGGCCTGTTTGCCAGTATGGAAAAAGTAGAGATAACTTTCAATTAGGGAACTCAGCAGAAATTAATACCTGTCAGTAAAACTGGGTAATGCTTGACCTTTGTTCCTTTTCTTTCTGTATTAAATGTGTTGTTATGAAGTCATTCAGTAGCTATCTAGTGACACCATGGCAGCATTATCTCCTTTTACAATCAAATAGGTGGGAGAATGCATCTTTGTCAGAGTCAGGTGGGAGCGGAAGCTAAGCAGCTTCTGGTTATGGAATTTCTTTCTTTACCTTCATGAAGGTCAGTTGTTAGAACACACATTAGTGCTGGTACCTGTCCGTCCTCTCTGCCTTAAAGAAGATCCTCTGTACTGGGCCACATTGCAACTCTGCTGACTGTGCCGGTCCCTCCACCTTCCCCACACTCAAGTGTGGGTTGCTTCAAACTTCACTCTTGCAGTGAGGATGGAAGTTTGGAGCATCCCAAGTTCTGTTCCAGATAACAAATAAGCTGAAGGTGGTTCATGCTGTCTGGAATTATTGTAAGCCATAACATGGATTTCCTGAGATTCTCATGTAGTTTTTTAACATTTTTAGGAGATTGAATCTGAACTGAGGCAAATGGAGGTGATCAAACAGCAGTATCAAAAGAAAAATTATGAACAGGTAGTATTCAATTAACTCTCTCTTTTACATGGATTAGAATCTGCATGAGGGTCACTGAAAACTCATTATTGTGCTGTCTCTAGTCACAGAGCATCCAGAAATTTATGACAGAGTTAACAGGTTTGCAGAGTGAGATGCAGATGTTAGCCAACAACCAGTATGAAGTAGAAACACAAAACAGACAGCTGGAGACCCAACTGGAATTAGAGCGGAAACTGCGACAGCAGCTAGAGGACCAATGTCAGGTAAGATGCTTGTAGATGTGGAAAATGATGTCCCATTCCGGAACTGAATGCTTACTTATTAGACTCCTACAGATGGAGGCTAAGTGCTGGTGACTTCCTACTCTAAA